GCGCGATTGAAGGCCGAAGGAATAACCAGAGTCTCAACCAGAGCTCGAAGCTAGTGCCAGAAGCCCCGAACGATCGCAACCCCGCGCTTTTATGCGGCGACGTCCCGTCGTAGGCGATGGAATGAAGAAACATCTGGAAAAAATGTGATACTAGATCAGCCTGATAAGAAAAGTCAAGCTAAAAGCAATCAATAAAATAAGTAAATCTCCCTGACCATATATACAAGAGTAGCGTCTTTCGCTACACTCCGGGCGGCGAGTTATTGGTATTTAGTTGGTGGATCTGATCTTTCACCATCTTGATCCTTGCTGTTATGCGATCCCGGGCATCAGTTATGGTACAGATGGCTCTGTGGTGAACCTTTGGGCTGATAAGAAATGATAGAGTTGTGTTCCGCACTAGGTCGCAATACCTGCATCCTTTGTCCTCTACCCTACACAGCTCGGTCGGGTGTCCTTTCCTGAGGCACAATTTACAATTCCCTCCTTGATCAATGTAGTTGTAGCGTTCGTATCCATCTGTTATCAGTGCGCAAGAGTCCGAAAAATGTTCTCCATATACTCCACAGAAGGAACACTCCACGCGCACTGGTCCATCCGGTATCTCACCGATCTTTCTTCGGGGAAGCAGAAAGCGACCCTTGTAGAGGTCGTCAAGTTCCCTCTCGAGATCTCGAATATATTGCTGTCGTTCTTGTTCTCGCTGACGTCGTGCTTTTTCCGCCAAACGACGATCTTCTTCCTCTCGGCGACGCTGTTCTTCTCGAAGTCGATCCTCTTCATATTGAATGTGCTTGCGTCTTCTTTTATCTTGCTCTACTCTCTCAGTATTGCGTTCAGCAACCTCGGGCGACGCCTCATCGTCATCTCTACATTCTTCGATTAGGTTCCTCATATATTCCTCGTCGGAGATTACCTGCATCTTGCTGGTTGTGGGTTGGTCTTCAGCTTCTGGATAGCACTTTCTTTTCACCGGTGGAGAATGATCCACTTTCTTGCCTAGATTCGAGGCGATATCGTCGATCTTCTTTTCCAGCTTCTCTATTGTCTTGTTGAAGACTGACACGAAAGTCTCCTTGTTCTGAACTTTCTCGTCCTGTACCATTTTTTCGGCACGGGTCAGTTCGTCTTCGATATCCGTGATATTGCGGATCCAAGCGTCTTAGCTCTATTTGAACCAGCATAGATAATGCTTTTATGTCATGATCGTCGCCTTCCAGCCACTCAGTTCTCCTACTTGCCGAAAATCTACCTTCATCGACCTTCATTCTGTAGATCGCATCGACTAGCATGTATCGCTGAGTGAAACTATGGAGTCGCTCCTTAGCATATGTTGCCGTTTTCCAAAGACGTGAAGCCGCAACGGAGAGCTCTCCTCCGGTAAATGTTGAACCGGCCGTTGTCAGTACATGATGGGCCCATTGGGCATCCAACGCCTTGCCCATTTTGACGTGATTGCGGATTTCTTCTAAGGTCGTTGTCATGTCTCTTTCGACATCCTCTACCGTGACTCTTTCTTGATACAAGCTGGCAAGAGAACGGAAACTGTTTAGGTATTCGTCTCCTTGAGCCATGATGTAGCTCTCTGAAACAGTGGAAGACTGATCTACTATGGCTAATATTGATAAAATATTGATTTCTATCTACATATTGCTAGTTTACTAGGAGGTTCCAAATTCTTAATGCTGTTTATCGTGCCTATAACCTGGTTTCTTGTTGGAATTTCTAATCGTTTGGAGGAAATATCCTATTGCTCCAGTAAGTAATCTTGGTATTAGTAATATTGTCCATTTCAGGAGTTTAACTCCAAAAAGGCTG